TAAAAAAAAATTAAAAATTAATATTTTTATTTAAAAATTAATGAAAATCATATTTTTAAATCAAAAAAATGGAAATTAAACGTTCTTACATTTAAAATGTCTATTACAATCATCCATAAATTTTACCACTGAAACTCATTTAACAAATAACTATGATAGACTTTTAAGCACAAGACACCTTAATTTTTTGAGCCGTCTTTTTAAATACAAAAATTAATATTTTTATTTACATTTTTTTAAAATTTAACTTTTAGTTTCTGCTGACAGGCGTTGACCATGCAACGGGGTTAAATCAGTCGTAGTGTCGTTGGTGTGAAACTTAAACCAACTAAATTACGGCGTGTGGGAACCGTACTAAACGATCGTCACTGCGGTCGTCACTTTTTGGAGCCTTTTTTTTCTTTTTCTTTTTTTTTTTTTTTGGTGAAAAGTGAAAGAATATATTAAGACAAAGGATAAAGATACACACACTCTAACGTTACATATTTTATTACACCCTAATTATCTCTGTTATGCAAACTGACGGTGTTTGTTGCCCAGCCTTTTTTTCTCTCTCCTCTCTTTTCTACTCTAGCTTGTTTACTCTCCTCAGAGGTTAAGATCAGTGCAAACAAAACCTACAATCCTAGTTGGTGATTACCTGGTTCTTCCTTTTTTTCCCTCCTCCTCCTTTCTTTTTCTTCTTCTTCCTTCTCTTCCCCTCTCTTGGAGAACCAGTGGGTTCTCATGGGATCTGGGTTCTCACGGTGAGAACCCGATCGTGAGAACCCAGATCGAGTTCTCACCGTGAGACTAGGTTCTCATGGCGACAAGCAATTCTAGTAGGTGATTACCCGGTTCTTCCTTCTTTTCCCTGCTCCTTCGTTCTTTTTCTTCTTCTTCCTTCTCTTCCCCCCTCTTGGAGAACCCGTGGGTTCTCACGGGATCTAGGTTCTCACGGTGAGAACCTGATCATGAGAACCCAAATCGGGTTCTCACTGTGAGACTGGGTTCTCGCCGTGAGAACCTAGATCTCGATCTGGGTTTTCACAGTGAGAACCCGATCCGGGTTCTTGTCTTTTCCTAATTTCAAACGATTTTATTCTGTTTTTTTTTTTTATTTGTTGTGAGTTGCTGGAAATTTCTTTTGAATTCTTTGTGCGTTGTTGAAAATGTCTAATGGGTGCTCCAAAAAAGATGGAATGTTGGCAGCAACAGGCAACGTCGGACACTTTTTTTGGTTGGATGTTTGCTTCTTACATTAATGGTAGCAAGATTAAGAAACCCAGCACTCTCTAGATTTGAAGAAGATGGAGAAGTTTAGGGGTTAGTTGTGTAACGAAGACCGTTAGTGTACTTGACGGATTCCATTAGTGTGTGGATTAGACCTGGCAATTTTTTACCCAACCTGTTAACCCGCCCGTTACCCACCCGTTTAAAACGGGTTAGGGTCAGATGTTCATGACCCATGACCCGTTAATAACCCGTTAAAAGAACCCAACGGGTAATGGGTCAATAACGGGTTAACCCAACGGGTTAACGGGCTTGACCCGTTTACCCATCTGAAAATTAAATATTTTTTAATTTATTATTTATATATTTTATTTCCTAATTTTCAAATCTCAATCTCACCTAAATCCCTAATAAATAGCTAATTTTACCTAATTGGTTACTTCTCTCGGCTCACCATCTTCAAGAAGCCAAAAAAA